ACCACTTGCAGAGAAACACTTGGAGAGAAAACACATATTAAAATAATCTTGCAATAATCACCTTGGCTTCACACTTGCACCTTGGCTTCGCACTTGCAAAGAAACCTTGGATGTGCGTGAAACCCATAATTGCAAGAACAACATATAATCTCTAGTTTCGACTGTTGTTATTGTACATATGTACTTTTGCAAACCTAACATGATGATACCTCTGTCGAGTTCCGTTGAAAAAACAGTGGTGTATGGCTAATAACAAAACCTAAAATTTCAGAAACACCAAGTCCAATTACACACGGATAAAAGAATAAAGAAATAACTTACAACTTGTTTAAGTCCAAGTGCTTTTGTTTCATTAACTTTCTCCGAGTAGAGTTCTATTTCATAATCTTCCTAAGCAAAAGATCTAACTGTTCTTATCGCACCAAAGGATTCCAAAGTAGCGTAGATAAAATTAAAACCAGTTAGTTAGCATCTTTTCTCCTATAAAAAGAATTGAAGTTGTTCTAATATGTTTAATGGGAGACGCATACCTCAATTATTGAAGAAGCTAATGTAGATGTTGCTTGAGTTTTATGAGAAAGTTCACGCAAGAAACGACCAAACTTGTTCCAGATTAATATAAATTCACATAGCAAACACAAACATGATAAATCAAAAAATTAGGAATTAAGATTTATCATAGCAAACATAAATCAGAAATGAAGCAGAGACATTGAAATCAACGAAAAAATTAGGGATTAGAGTTTATCAATTTCATCTATATAAACTGAAAGGGCAACAAACCGTACCTAAACAATCTCCTTCTTTAAATGACTTGAATGTCATGGTCCTGAAATGTATACATGAGTTTAATAACAATATTCAGGGAAAAAAACCCATAGGATTTACATTTACAAATAACATTTACAGATAACAACCCCTAAAAATAGAGAAACAACTAAAAGAAGACAAAAGCTAAACTAAACGTAAGGGTTGAAGGCAAATCGGTACAGGTAACAACTATATTAAAGAAACCATTGTCAAACATTAACACAAATATGTCCAACAAACTCCATTATACACATAGAACTTTTAAAATCGTTAAAAAATAACCATACGCAAATGGTGGACGACGGCGCAGATGGTCGAAAGAAATCAAAATCGAGAGTGAGAAGAGGAAGGAATGAGCAAGACGGAGTAGAAGTTGTGGTAGAGAGAACCCATGTATTTGAAAATGAGTTGCCTTGTAGTAGCAAACAATCCACTGGGATATGATATATCGGGAACCGTGAAGATTGCAGAAAGTAGAAAGCAGAAAGGATGGGGATCAGAATTAGTAGGATTTGGATTATGAAAAGGTAACTCAGTTTGCATTTAAAAGATAGCAAAGCAATGTTGTAGAAAGAAAGTAGTTGCTCAACAACTATTCGGTTCATTAGTTACCACATAGGTAGGAAAAGACCAACTTTTAAGCAAATGTAATAACGTGTTTAAAAATGGCAAAGGGGTAGAAAGGGTCTTTCTAGAGATCCAAATTTTCTTATATGGTAGATTGTATAACTAAATGATGAGTATTACTAAGGAGTATAAAGTGATTAATGTTTGTTGTTCCTCTAATGTTTGTTGTTGCTCTTTGCAACTGGACACCTTATTATAAGATTAATGTCAAAGTTTCAAACGTGTAACAAAACATTAAACCAAACGAGAAACTCTTATTACTAACATTGAATAGTGAACATGCATGCTGGAGTCATAATTCAATAGAGTAGTTTTTAGTTTTAGTCAAAGATTATTGTAACAAGTCATGAAATGATCATAATATTGAGTATGAGCAAGTACATCATGTGATGAGTTGCAAAAAAGAACTAACGCGCCTTGCTTTGCTGGTTCACCTTTTGACTTGACTGATACTAGATAGAGCGAGTCAGTCTCATACCACTTGTTTATTTTCTACAAACAAAAATCCAGCAAGACCATTGACGCAGGTCCTATGTTGAATCCTCACCGTAGGATTTTCGGTGGTTGACATTTTATTTTTAGTTATATCCGTAGTTGACATTCTATTATTTGACAAAGTAAGTCTTCCATACAAGAAACGACAATTTACCAGTCAAAGAAAAATAAAAAAACACCGCGTTGGGCCTAAAACAGAGTACGTAAAATATTGAATAAAACTATATGATATTGATCTGAATTATTGTGAATTATTTGATGCATACAAAATGTCATTATTTTTGCTATAATGTATATTAAATAGATAATTTCAACAAAACATGAAAATTAAAAGAAAAATTTTAAAAATAAATAAAACCTTAAATAATAGACAAATTTCAAAAAAATATTGAACTCAAATACATAAATGAAACACAAAACATAAAAAAAAAATTAAACAATTAATTTTAAAATAAATAAATAGAGAAATTTTAAGAAATAAATGAAATTCAAAAAAAAAATTAAGAGAAACTGTTTACTCCGTTGTGAAACTAGAAATGGTAATGATTGTGGAATCTATGGTGGAATGGAGTTTTCGATGCACTACGTTGATACGACAACGTAGATCGAAGGTTGCAATCACGATGTTTCTTGAATCAGAGGTATCAGTTTTGATGTGATGCCATTAATTGGTGTTGCAATCATCGATACAGTGGACCTAAGGGGTTGAAGGGGTACATGCATGGTTTGTTGAACTTGAGACTTCACACACAAGAGATGGGGTGAATTGTGTGTTTTGAAAAAACTTGATTTTGAAAACTTTTGACAAGTTAAATCAGAGTTTAAAAACATTTACAAAAAACTAAGCAGCGGAAAGTAAATTGCAGAAATTAAATAGTTAAGGAAAGAAGAACAACAAGAATTATACAGATTCAGTTAAAAACGACTTAGTCATATCCTCAAGAATTGATCTTGAGAGTTTCCAATAATAATTGAGAACTTTTAGTAGGAAATGCTCATGAATTCCCTTATACACGGAAATAATGGTTGATCTTCAACTAAATATTACAAGACGATAGATATAGGTGTTTGCGTATTTTCTGTAGTATATTGCTGATAGTGAATTGGCCAATCTTCCTTTCCAACGGTGGATTGAAGCGGTTAGTCTCTTTTCCACGAACAAGGACCTTGGAGTGGATAGTCTTCAAGTTCCAAAATATATGAGCTCAATACCTTTCGTTTTACCAGGACAAATCAAACAACCTACGAGATTTTGACCAGGCTGATCTTTAACCTATGAAGATTTTAATATCAGACTAATCTTTAACCTATCTTGGTTTTGACCAGAATAACTAAGAACCAACGAAGATTTTAACAATGGTTATTCTTCGGTCAAAACTTAGGACTAATCACACAATTCTCAAACCTAAGCTTTTATCGGGTTTAGCTTCGAATCATAAATAATCCCTAATTTGATAGTATTTAACTAAGGTGTATACAAAAGATTCTCTTGGTAAATTATATGATTCTACTCTTTCCAAAATTACAAAAGTACCCTCACTCTCAAAGGAACTTTTCTCACAAAAGCATTTGGTTATAACATCTAGTGAGAGAAAGCTAAATAAAACTTTAGAGAGAGATGTAAGTGCCAAAACATGACTCTGGATGGTTTGAAATGAGAAAATGAGACTTTATTTATAGGCTTCAGGTTTGCCAAAAAAAGGAATTTGCAATCAATGCATTTTTTCGTTATCGAATCGATTAGAGATAAATGCTAATCGATTAGATATTTAAAAATAATCGATTATAAGTTCTCAAAATAGAATTTTAATATATATATATATATATATATATAACTATTGTACATAATCAAGGTGCGTTCAATCTAGCTTGGGCCTCAAGTTTGTGTATTTCTAATCGATTGACTATTTGATCTAATCGATTAGGAAAATAAAAATTTCGCCCGTGGCTATTTTGACTGCTCCTGATTTGTCTGATACAACTACCATATGTTTTTCAAAGTGTTTTATTTTGGTAAAGCTTTTGAAAAAGGTTTTAGTGTGTGTGTGTGTGTGTGTGTGTGTGTGTGTGTGCGTGCATGCACGCTTATAGCCTTATACTTTTTTGGAAAAGCCTTTTTTTCTTACATAAGTCCATTCACTTACTAAATTAGGAGATTAACTCCTTTTCTAAAAGCCCTTTGTCAGATACTTATTTTTTGTTGACACTGCATGATATAACTTGAGGCTTTAGATTATTTCCATTTTGTTTGATGTCTTTAGATAGTCAAGTTCATCAACCATAACACTTGGTTACATCTTTAACAATTTAAGTATTGTGCTTAACTTATCGTTAGTTATCCTTATAGTTATCATCATCAAATGTTGATGTCCTGGTTAAGGGTCTATCACCTACAAAATAAGGTTCCACATGGTTAGCACTCCAACACTTAAGTTATTTTAGGGTTCAAGATAGCTGGAAGTGAAAGTAGAGATTAGAGATAATGTCCCTTAGACCCCTTTACTAAGGTGGTATTTATAACTTGGGCCCAGCAAAGTAGGATAGGTAATGGACCTCGTGTTATTGGGCCTTTAGCTGGCACGGAGTAGTGGCTCTCGGGTCTTTGGTCGACACATAACAGTTTCCCCTAAGACTCATTAGCCATGTTTGATGTCGGGGAAGTCTTTCAATAATAGTGGCCGACCTCAAAGGAATTTCATCCATGCATCGGCTCGCATGTGCCGCTTTGGTTTTTCCAAAGTGTGATGTGAATGTGAGCATTAAATGGAACCCCATCATTGAAATGGTTACCCATTTTTTTACGTGTGACCCGAAAAAGGTATAGGGTGGAGGGACTCAAATTTATGTGTTCTCGAGTACACTCGAGTGTGGTTGTCTTCACCATATGAAATTTTACCGTTGATTTGTCTTTACTTCTTACTTTCGATCTGAATTGTTCAATTGTCTTTGCATATATAAAAATGGAGAGAGACTGTGGAATTTTTTTTCAAATGAAGCTCTCTCCATGAATACTTCATAATCCATGTTCTATGTGAAATCCTACTGGTGAAAATCTTGCCGAGGGACTGATGCCTCCTCCTATTTTGACTGAGGAAGAAATAGACGTTGCCCGTCAAAGTCAGGAACATGCTTATCGCTTTGTACAAACATATTGGGAGTCAACTGGCTATGACCCTAGTAATGCTAAAAACTTTCTTCATATAGAGTGTTAAGGGTGATAGGGGTCTATGTTCTAGGTAATCCCGATGATCATCATAGAGTCGATGTGTTGGCCCATAAGAGTAACACGGTTAATAAATCCGACCAATGTGGGTAGATATCATTGGGTGGATGTCGAAATATTTTAGACTTCTTTCGTTCTGATCACCATTGAAGTCATAACCCAAGACAACATCATAGTTGGCAATTCCTAGGATTGAGAGATTTTGCATGTAGGTCCAGATGAAAGGGTATTCAACTCCTTCGAGGGTTGCTCGGTTTTCCTGTACGAGTGTCTCTTCATCAGGTTAGGGATCCGTCTACCCTTATCTGATTTTGAGGTGCCCGTGATGAACCATCTAAAAGTTTCCCCTTACAACTTCATCCTAGGGCATGGGCCTTCATGTCAGTGTTCCAGCTTTGTGTTGGGTACAAGTATTGAAAACTTTCATTAGGGATCTTCTTCGACCTCTTCTCTGTGGCTCATACTTTGGTGGATGATGCTTGAGATCAAGGACTAATCTCCTTTCATTCCCAAGTACCTTGGTTCGACTCTTTTGTTTATGACTTGGGGGATTTTCTAGATCATTTTGTGTTGGTGAAACCTTTCACATCTAATGCGCTTATGGACTTATGCTCGTCTTCAACTTCGGTGAGAAACGTTTGTTATTGTAGAGGTGGTTTTTAGAAGTATTGGTCTAGAGTTCATTTTTATAGGCCTATCCAATCTTATCATTTCGGGCTGACTTATCTGTCTCCTTAAGAAGTGAAATGAAAGAGGATTTTCATGTCTAGTATCAAGGACTCAAATATGAAGAAGGGTTTGGTCCCGAGAAAGTGCTTTCTTTTCAGAAAAAGAAAATGCAGATAGATACCGATGCAATCATTTGTGTGCTTGAACATTCCGAGATATAAAAACTCTTTGGTGAGGATGAGGATCAGAGCACCATTTTCTTTAACCGTGCAAATTAAATTTTTTCTGATAACATAAATCATTTGAGTAAGTTGCGAAAAGATCTAGCTCCCTTGAACGATCAGGGTCTTACTACTTGCTTGTCTGTCCCGGTGTCTCCGACATCTATCGTTGATTCCACTTCTGTTATGGAGGCTCGTATTCCTATTGTGATGACTGCACCTGAGGTAGTCAAAACTAATGTCCCTATTCCGACTACTGAAATGGTTTAGATAGCTGTTGCCACATCTTATTTATCTACTCGGGGACCTTCACCTTCTCCTTCCCCTACCAAGAAGGGTCGGGGTGATAGTTTGTCCACTCTTGTTGAAGAAGGTTCTCACAAATTGTCTCGCTCAGAGGAGGGTGGCTAGCAGGATGATCTGACTCCTTTCTTCCAGTTTCCTGCTATTTTACCTTCTCGGGCACCTAGAACGCAGGAGGAGTTGATTTCTTTTGTGGCTTCTAAGGGTTTGGATTTCATCTAGGGTTTATCTACGACTCACAGGAGGAACCTTTTTTCATATGCTTCCCGTCCTTTATTTAGGGTCGGGTCCCTTGTCTCCATTGTAGCTACTGGCCAAGACGTTGTTCTGGGCTCTGGTGAGCTTTCAAGGGAACAAGATAAGTTGAGGGAGCAGTGTGAAGTCCTTGAGCGGAAAAATTCTAATACTGAGAAGGAATTGAGCGCTGTGCCATTTAATTTCACTGTTTATTCATGTAGTGAAAAAGACAATTATACTAACAGTAATTATTATTCTGTATTTTTCTTACATAAAAGGAAATTAAATGAGAAGCGAAAAATCAACTTTTAATTAGCATAAAAAATCCTAGAAAAGTCATCCATTTACATATTACAATCAAATTTCCATTTTTACTTTTGCGTTTTAAATTTTCATGTCATTTCTACACATTTGCAATTTCACATTTGCATTTCAAATTTTAAATTACAACACAAGTGCACCAAATTACATGTTATTCACATTTGTCTTGAATTTGCATTAGCATTGCATTTCATTTATAACAAACTAAAACCAACTCTAGCCACCACTAACTAACTATTTTCAACTAATTTTGGCTCCAAAGTTAAATTATAAAAGCAACCATCATCTTTACAATTTGGAGATGGTCACAATTCACGAATTTACTCTCAAAAAAAAATTTCACTTCACAGATTCACTTCTCTAAACCACTTCTTCTCCATATTCATATTCACCAACCAACAACCTCATATTCCATAATCACCATCAACCTCCATAATCACCATTTCATCTTGAATCTTCAACTTCTATTCATCACCATATTCGTTGATTCACATTTGGATTCATTATCATCAATAATCATCACAATTACACACAAACAAGTCCAATTCATAAATTTCTTTTTTGAGTTGATTTTGAATTTTGACCAAATTAGTAAATTAATGTTAGATTTGATTAGAAGAGGTTATAAACATTCCAAAAATGCAAAGAAAATTTTATCCAGAACTGTGTCGGTGCCTGAACGGAGATTGATCGGAGAGCCACCACGTCCACCATTGTTGTCGTCGTGTTCTTCATGTGTTCTTGAGTTTTTTTGTTCAAGTAAGCTCAAATCCTTGTCTATTTGTTAATTTCTTGATACCATTGCATTCCTAAGCATCTCACGGTCACTAATCATTTCTAAATTGCATAAAACTCTGTTAATTTGTATTTGAAAAATAAGGGTTTGAGTGTTCTTGAGCAACTCAAGAACACAAATCCGAAATTGCTCAAATCAAACCTGTTTCACGCGGAAAATTATACCAATAGCATCGTATTGTCATTATGAACACGAATATGTATCTATTTTTTACCTGAAACCGTTTCATATGGCCGGGTTGGGTTTCAGTGACTTTAGGGCGCCAGAGTCACCGTAACTTTGTGTCTCTCTCACACTAAAAACCACTATCTCTCATTCTATTTTCCACCTTTTTATTTTCTCTTTCCTCAAAAATAACTAAAGTCACCGAGATCAAAGTCACTGAATCCTTCTCCCATATGGTCGGATAAACACCACTTTTACAGGTGGAGGTTGATCGTATTTTGGCCATTTAGATCCCCTCTCGTGTGGTTTCGATCATGGAAATAGATTGGACTCATTTTTTGGATTGATTTCGTGGATTCATTCGCTTATTTCCATTGAGATTTGGATTTTTATGAATTTAGAATAGGACTTTCGTATCCTTGCTTCAACGCATGAACAATAGCAAGAGGTTGGAGAATATATAGTCTCCCTACACCCCTCTTCTTGCTACGCATACCCCTCCCCCTTTGGACCTAGAGCAATTTCCTCTTTACACCTCAATTTTTAGCCTGCTTTTTTTTATTATTTATTGTTTTGCCTTTCTTTTTAGAATTAGTGCCTTAAGCCCATTTATTTATTTTCTTTCACACTCTTGTATTGATAGTGCACTCTCTTCCTTTTATTTTATTTTTTATGCTTTGATTTTTTTATTAATCATTTAATTGATGTATGTTTATAAAAAAACATAAAAAATAATTAAAATCAACCGTTCAAAATAAAAATAAATAATATTTGATCAACATCAAGTAATTTTCAAAACTGTTTCACTATCAAATTAAAAGCATTTTAAGTCAATTTCAAACAAATGCGGATCAAACACTTGATCAACATCAAGTTCTTTTTCTGTGTACTAAAAAACATTTCCAAATTCTTTTCATAATTAAATCAGTTGGAAAAGGATTAGTTTGGATGTAATATCCTATCTTTTACCCGAGTATTTGATGATAGCCGTAAATAGCTTACCGTTCAAAAAATCGTCGTCCGTTCAAAATATAATAACTAATCGAATTTAGTTCGGTCTTTATTGGATGAAAAAGGACTAGTTTAAACGTAATATCCTCTCTTTTCTCCAAATATTTAAATGATATTCATAATAAGCTTACAGTCCGTACACTCATCTTCCGTTAAAGACTTAAGGCTTAATTCGCCTCACAAATTTCATAAACGATTTGGATGAAAAAGGATTAGTTGGACATAATATCTATCCCTTTCCCCGAATATTTGAATGCTAGCTATAATTAGCTTGTTACTTGAATATTTTTCATCCACCTAAATCAATCACAACCAATTAAACTATTATTTCTCGCTCAGAGCGATCACAAACTTTTCACAAACGAACAATGTTTTATACATTCGAACGCAATACAAAAATGCTTAAACCTCCCACACGCAAGCAAACAAGTAATGTTTAACTGCTAGAATGCGACCTAAACATCGTTCACTAAAATCAACCAACAAACAAATAGTTTATACTAAGAAATATGTAGCATTGAGTTCCCCATCGCACTTGAGGATACATAGGAGCGAGATCCAAAGTCTCGTCAAGGACCCTAATAAAATATATATATTTTTAGTCCTTTATTTCATCTTATAAACACCTGATAATAATTAGAATAATCTCAAAAGCATTATGCTAACACTCTTTCACAAAACTAACTAAACGGTTCTCGTTGAGTACAATGGATGTGAGGGGTGCTAATACCTTCCCCTCGCATAACTAACTCCCGAATCCTATTTTGGTTGTGATAACCACATTTTTGTTCTTTGAGGGTTTTATCGATGTTTTCCCTTTCCTTTTAGAATAAATAAACTTCGGTGGTGACTCTGTTGTATTTCAAGCTTTCGTTATGCTCGGGTATTTTTCGCGGCACAACAATATCATTCCTTTTTCAACCATCGTCATTGTCTGTCTAGGATCCGAGGAGAATTTAGAACTGAGGAGAACTAAGGATTACTTTAGAACCCTGCAATTTGCATCATTGATTATTGTAGAAACCGATAAATAATAGTTGCTCAAAGTGTAAATGACCTTAAGTCTTTTGCGGAGCCGTGTATGGTTGTTTCTCCCGGAAGCGAGTTGCGTTAAGATGTACACAATGTCTTTATAGAATGTAGAGATATTTGCGCATGGATGTGATCAGAATGTGCTTTCTCGGAGGAAGCATTTTTATAGTTGAAGTGTCCGTACGCCGAATTAAGGCTAGTAGAACATGAGACCAGCTCTGACATTTATGCTCTTCGAATCAATGGGCATCATCTTAGCTAAACTGAATTCTTCTAATGTGAGCATGGAACATGTATGATGAAAGGAGGGGAGCATATTGCTCTGGAGAATCAAGATGGGCACACCCAGGTAGGCATTAGTAAGGTCGAAGATGAGTTGAAGAACCAAATAATGATTGTTTATGGTAGCACTAACATCTCGTAATTGTTAATAAAGTGTCTTCAGACGTTGATAATAATTAGAGACATTTTAAAAAGTATCCATGCGAACTCCCGAGAATTCCTGCTAAAGAGTGACAACACGTTTGTTCTGATTATCCTGGAAGAGTTCATCCAAACGCTTCCAGGCATCAAGATTTGTGGAGCCTTGTTTCATGATGGTGGTTTACAAGTCAACAAAAATAGTGGAATACATCCACTAAAGCACGGTTGCATCCAATGTGGCCAACTAGTCATAATTTGGGCAACTAATAAGTGGTCAACTAGTGCATGAACGCGTAATAGCTCCACCCATGTGTTGTAGCTATCAATTTCCATTCTAAGCGTAATAGGAATATTATTCTGAATGATGGAAACAATGAGTGCATGATAAAATTCTGACTTGGTAGAGGATGATGGAGGTGATGTCGAGGTTTCCACCTTGGTAGGAGGAGTCTCCATGTTTCTTTCATTGTCAGAGGATTCAGACATGTTGTGTATGAGCCGTGCGATCGGAGGAGGGAAAGAGGTCTGACTGCGGCATGAAGAGGAATATGACGATGGCAGAAGGGAGGGGAAGTGGTTGCGGCTGCGCCAATGGTGCAGGAGGAGGAGCTACTTCAGCGGCAACAACTTTTGAGGGGAAGTGACAGTGGCGGTGCAAGATAAGGAGCTACTATGACAGCGACAACTTTTGAGGAGAAGCAGTCTCGACAATGCTAGGGAAAAAGCTATTACAACAACAACCGCTTTAATTAGGTTTGGATCTTTACTCCTACTTATATCATGTAAGATATCGAGATCAACCGTGTGAAAATGACACTACGGAGACTATATATATATATATATATATATATATATATATATATATATATATATATATATATTACAGTTAATTACATATTGTAGTCGACATCGAAAGAGTTTTAATCCTACATGTAATCAATCTTCTCTTCAGTACCGAAATATATAGTTTACATTCCTACAATGTTAATATTTATATCGGAATAAACAATATACGTTCCTACAGTATTAATATTTAGATTTAGTGACTTGATTCTAATTAAGATCACTTTTACATTTCCATTGACATGAGCATAACATATACTATATATTATAAAAACCACTATTCCCATCTTTCATAGAATAGTTATATCATGTCACATATAAAGTAGGATAATGTTTGAATTGATTTATTTGAACTTATCTCATGCCATAAATTTTATGACACTACGTTTATTAAAAAAATTTATGTGTTAGACCGGTTCATAAACCTTATAATTTCTATCAAAAATAGAAATCAAGAACATAACTCTAAATAAAACTCTTAAACCCACATCCTAATACAATCATAAGAATGAAAGAGGAGGCTTACTTGAATTTGTCATTGAGAATCACCAAAGATTTGTAGGTATTTTATCTTTCGATTTGTAGAGTTTCTTATGGCACATTAATTCTCCTCTAATGGGGATGAAGAGAGAAATCTTGATAAGTTGTTTTCACGTTATCTACAAATGGGGACCATAACCACTATAGATAACCTTAGGGTTATTTCTTAGTTTTCAATATTCTAATTTGGTCTCTCATCAAATTAGATATTGACTTATGGTATCTACACAATAATGTTATATTTTATGATATTTATGTTTTTAGTCAGACTTATTATTAATTAGAGCACTACATCTTTGGCTAATTACATAATGGCCCTAACATATGTAACATTACAATTATGATTCAAATATTCTAACAATCTCTCACTGGTCACATATGTAATCATACACATGTGTTAGACTTTATGAGCTGAAAATTTGCCATTATATTCATTAAGCATATCCAAATTATCTCGTCCATTAGTCATACCAATATATAGATTCAAGGTGATTTTCGTTATATTAATCATAACCAAACCCATCAATGATCACCAATAGTGACACAACTACATGACATAGATCCATCATAAAATATGCAGCATGAAAATCACATGAAGTTGGTTTGTATATGTCGATTTTCAACTGATCCTACTTTACTTTAGTAAGATCATTCAATAACTTTATTGTACAAAATGTAAGCTACTGAATCAAACTTTATTAATTTGGAAAATTTCCAAAATCATAGTATGCATACATAAAACCAAAATATAGAATATAAAATTCATAATTGACCAACTCCCACTAAACCAAAGACTCCTCTAATGGTAAAATACCCACATGAGCAATATGCTCATGAAAGACCTAGGGTGGAAGACCTTTTGTAAGAGGATCTGCTATCATGGAGTTTGTCCCCAAGTGTTCTATGGAAATATGTAAACTTTGTACCCTTTCCTTAAAAAACTGGGAACTTGATGTCAATATATTTTGACTTGGTCGAGTTTCTATTATTGTTGGAATACATGATGGCTGATTTATTGTTATAGTATAACTTAAGTGGCCTTTCAATCCCTTCAACAATTCTGTTGGAATGGTGTAGAGGCAAGCAACAAAAGTTTTAGAAATATTTATCTGGGAATTTATCGTATCCAGGGAGATTGGTTATTGAATTGTCGTTCGACAAATCTCTCGTTAATGAGTTTGGGGATAAATGGTTTGTAAAGAAAATTTTATCAATAGAAAATAAATATAAACAAAAGTAAAAACTAAGGAAGAACTTATCAAGCCTGCAAATAATCTACTCATTACAGACTTAAATCTATCGACCAATTATATTCAACCTAACAATACTCATCACTGTCACCATGTATCACTCATAATCTAAGTCATTTCTAACCCAAAGTGAGAGACCGACTATATCACCAAGGAAATTATCTCTCTACCTCTTCAACAACACAGAAGACAAATATGCAATTGCACTGATGATCTCTCAGCATAGCATAACCACACAGAGCCATTAAGCTCTGATACCCAAGTAGATGTTAGCTCTAAATCTATCTTTAGAGTTCAAAAACTAACAAATAATCATCCTAGATAAGAATCTAAGCAGTATATGTCTATAACAACTCAAATCCCTAACACAGAGCAAAAAACCAAGACAAAAATCAATAGAGATTAATAAAACAAGTTTTATATAATGCCATGGGCGAAAAATATACATAAGTTCAGAGTAAATACATGTACAAACTCAACACATAAAGAATACACAAAGAGGAAGAGAAATGAACCACAAATCTACCAATTTGTCAGCGCTGATTGATGAGCAATCCACCTCGGATCATCCGTATGCAAGCTTCAATGTTTTCTAATCTAATCCTATCAAAGAATGAAGTTTGATGGAGTTGGGATCAAAAATACCCAAAACCACACCCAAAAAAATGTGTTTTTACACCTAAATACGCATTTCTGACAGTCCAGCATCGCTCGGCGACCAAAAAGCATCGCTCGGCGACCAAAACAACATTTTTCCCATGCTACAGCTCACCTAGTGTCGCCCGGCGATGGATGACAGAAAGTTGAAAAACCAGCACAACATTCTACATTATTTCGGTCATAACTTTTGAACCGTAACTCTGATTCGCGTCTGGTTTGAAGCGTTGGAAAGCTTATTCAATGCTCTTTCTCACAATAACAAAATATAAACCAAATTGATGATATTTTATTCTTTGATTTTGAGCCTTATCCGTTGATGAGTTGCTCAAAATCGTGTGTTTGAAGTCGTGTCTTCGACACTTTATTGCTCATGCTCCAAGTACGAATCAATACCTATAAAATGAATGGAAAACTATCAAATGATATATTTTATACACGAAAACGCATATGAACACAAACTAAATGTATCTACATAAAATTAGGGTTTATTCAACATATTAACAACAAAGAGTCGATAAGTGCAACAAAAAGTATATACAAAATAACTACACTTTTACACTTATCAAACTCTCCCCAACTTGAGTCATTATTTGTCCTCAAACAAAGTCAAATAACCTAAATAACAAAGAATGATAAATCAAAGAATCATAAATCAACGGGTTTTAAAAACATAAAACAGATGCAATGGTTCAAATTAAAAACAGTACACACAAAGTAAACACTTACCACTAAATTACGACTATAACATAAACACGAAAAAAAAATGCTAAATACAAAAATTATGTCAAACATTCTAAAAAAATACTAGTTCATAAATGAATCACACCTAGCAAATACAATCATCGCTAGATGAGAAACACACAAAAATGGGGTATTTTTACTCATCCAACAATCTTGTAAACAATAGACTAAATTATGCATTCATCCAAAAATTTACATTGAAAATATAAAAGAAAGAATCTCAAGGGCTTCAAAGTTGTAATGTGGCTTGGTTAACAAACAAGTGATAAGTCCTAAAGCTAATCAAAACAAAAACTTGCCTAAACCTAAGGGAGTAATTACTTCCACAAAGTTTTAAACAATAGAATTTCAATCAAACTTCTTCTTCATCCCAAATTTCAAACCAACACACATCACTTATTCAACACGATATTATTCCATACTATTTTTGTTTTTGTTTTTCAATTTTTTTCCTTTCTTTTTCTATCACTTTTTTTCCATTTCTTTTCTCACTTTTTTTTTCTTTTTCTTTTCAACCTCATAGCAATCAACCAATAAATACACAATTATTTTTCTCCCCAACTTGAATTCAACCATACATTAAAGTGAATACTCCCTATTTTCTAAGAAAAGGTAAAAAATCAAATCAAAACAATGGTTAAGGGTTCAAGAAAACAACGAATCAACAACCATGCAAAAAGGGAAACTAAACACTCATAGACAAACATTTAGCAAATACAACATGGATAGTGACAAAAGGCTCAAAGGGGTTACAAATGATCACACATTTATAAGGTGAATTGACTTATTTGGCCAAGGTAGTTGTGCTCAAAATGAAATAAAAAAATGCCTTGATCACGTTCAAGCTTTCATACAATCAACACAAACAAAAGATTAAGCATAATAAAATCCAGTTAAAACAAGAATTGTGGTCTCCAGCATATGTGAATAATGGAAAGCTACCTCACAAAAAGGATAGGAACTAAAGTGATTCACAAATGAACAAGTATACAAAAGAATGAATGACATAAAAATTGTAAAAATTCTAAGCATCATGAATATGCTAAAGTATAGAAAGCGATAAACACATACCTCAAACGTGTACAAAACTTTAATAAAATCATTACCACGCATTTGCAAGTCGAAACGATCAAACTTGACAAATCACCTCAATATTCTACAAGTTACCGGACCAAACACTACGCCAAAAATAAGTTTTAGCATCACATAAAAGAAAGCGCTTTTGGAAAAAAGCGCTGCTGTAGGTTTTAAAAAAAATTCGCTTAAAAAAGCGCTTTCAAAGGGTGCCTTAAGAAAGCGCTTTTCAAAAGCGCTTCTAAAGGTCACCCTTAGAAAGCGCTTTTTGGGAAGCGCTGCTAAAGCTGGCCTTTCAGAGGGTACCTTAAGAAAGCGCTTTTCAAAAGCGCTGCTAAAGGTCAGCCTTAGAAAGCGCTTTTCCAAAGCGCTGCTAAAGCTGGCCTTTAGAAAGCGCTTTTAAAAGCGCTGCTATAGAATATGCTACGAAAGCGCTTTTTGATGTAAAAGCACTATTATAGATGACCTTTAGAAAGCGCTTTCGTAGGTAGTTTTATAATAAATATCAAAACACAATTCGTATCACTTTTCTAAGCCCATTAGTTAAGCCCATACCCGAATTATTATTATAAGTTATTCAACAGAAACCCTTGTTGGAAACCATTTGCAGTATAGCCGCTCATCTTTGTTTCTCACAGCATCCCGTGAAGCCGCTCCAAAATGGTTCGTTCGTTTTCACAGCTTGTTGAATTTTAAACTGTTATTCTAATTTCATTCTTATGTGATTATTGTTTGTGATTTTGGTTACAGACTAAGAGAACCAAGAAGGCCGGTATTGTTGGCAAATACAGTACGTTCTATTAATTTTCTTACTTTTCAACATTTTGTCTTGTTTGTTGTGCTTTTCGGTTTCAGATTTGTTTGTTTTGTAGATATTTATTTCATTTCAATTCACTATAAATGTGTTTGTTCTAACCCTAAAAACTTTGTGGGTTTTTTAATTTCAATTAGGTTTAGCTTAGATGTATTTGCTTCTAATTTAAATGAAATTCTCAGCTAAGATGAGTTTATGGTTTTTGTGTCGTAAATGGTGATAACTGATAGGTTTGTGTTCTAATTTCAGGCACCCGATATGGTGCTAGTTTGAGGAAGCAAATTAAGAAGATGGAAGTCAGTCAGTACAGTAAATTCTTCTGCGAGTTTTGTGGAAAGGTAGTTTTTTTTAAGGTGTTTTGTGACGAGTTTTTTCGATCTGCATTGGTTGATTATGTTCTCAATTTGTTTTATGTAGTATGCTGTTAAGAGAAAGGTTGTTGGTATTTGGGGCTGCAAATATTGTGGGAAGGTCAAGGCTGGTGGTGCTTACACTTTGAAGTAAGAATCTTGCTCAAAAAACATGTTTTCTCAATTTATTAATTGCTTGTATAAGTTTCTAACCTTGTGATTTTCTTTGTGCTTATTATTTTGACAGTACTGCCAGTGATGTGACTGTTCGGAGTACCATCCGAAGGTTGAGGGAGTAGACTGAGAGTTAGAAAGGAAGCAGTATTACAATTTTGTTATTTTTTGTTTTCAAAGTTATTGCAGAAACTCTTGTACGTCCTTAATTATTGTTATATTTGATTTGGATATTTGAGGAAGGTTTTGTAAGTGTATCAGTTATCTTTATATTATTGAGTACTATTTAGTTTGAGCCACATCTTCTTGTTGTTAGGGTTGATTTTGTAAGACTGATTTTGAGTTACAATGCTGATAACAATGGTTTTTATATATTTTGAGGTACAAAAATGGTATATATATATATATTTTGGATTACAATGGTATACAATGCATTACCGCGGTTTATGAATTACAGGTTATGGCAACTGGTTTATATAAATAATATGCTGCAAACAATGCAGGTATATGAATTATATAAATTATACCTCTAAAAAAAACACCCTATGAAAGCGCTTTTTCAAGAAAAACGCTGCCTTAGGTAACCTATGAAAGCGCTTTTTCACAAAAAGCGCTGTCTAAGGTAAACATATGACAGCGTTTTTCCAGGCAAAAGCGCTGCTAAAAGACCACCTATGAAAGCGCTTTTCCAGAAAAAAGCGTTGCTAAAAGCCTACCTAAGACAGCACTTTTCCATAAAAAAGCGCTGCTAAAAGAAAACTTATGAGAGCGCTTTTCATTAAACAAAAAGAGCTGCTAAAACCTATAGCAGCGCCACCTACGAAAGCGCTTTTAAGCGCTTTTAAAGGTCAAAAAAAGCGCTTTCGTAAGTCTTTTTTGGCGTAGTGAAAACAACAACAAAAGAATTAGAAAAATAATACTCCTACAAAATTTCAATTTACAAAATTTACAATATATACAACGAACAAAACTCCTCAAGCTAAACACGACAAGCTTTCAGAAAACACAAATTGACATAACAAAACAAATACAAATAACGATATGAAAATCGGGTGAAAATGAATTAACAAGTTGAAAAGTGAAGATTTGAAATTCAGAATATTTCCTTGTTTCAACTTGTTAAAGAACAAATCACAACACACATAAACAAATACAAACAAACATGATTGTTTTACGTTGTAAGCTCGACGCCTTTATTGTGCAATCTAGTAACCTCCTCTCATCATGTCATGGTATTGTCACACCGCGCAAATCTAAAGAAAGTGTCCTAATAATTACACAACTAATGTTACCAAAACGAAATAATTTACAAAAATACGTGAAAACAAATGTATGCACAAATATCATATACAAATTAATGTACAATTTTTATACAACATATACATTAATTACAAAACTCAAAAACAAAAGAATTATCGCAATGCAAAAACAATAGAACCAATCCCCGATAACAATGCCATTTTGTTGGAACAGTGTAGCGGAAAGCAACAAAAGTTTTGGAAATATTTATCTGGGAATTTATCGTATCCACAGAGATTGGTTATTGAATTTTTGTTCGACAAATCTCTCGTTAATGAGTTTGGGGATAAATGGTTTGTAAAGAAAATATTATCAACAGAAAATAAATATAAACAAAAGTAAAAACTAAGGAAGAACTTAACAAGCCTGCAAATAATCTACTCATCATAGACTTAAATCTATCGATCAATTATATTCAACCTAATAATACTCATCACTGTCACCACGCATCACTCACAACCTAAGTCATTTCTAACCCAAATTGAGAGACCAACTATATCACCAAGGAAATGATCTCTCTACCTCCCCAACAACACATAAGACAACTATATAATCGCACTGACGATCTCTCAGCACATCACAACCACAGGCATTAAGCTCTGATACCCAAGTAGATGTTAGCTCTAAATCTATCTCTAGAGTTCAGAAACTAACAGATAATCATCCTAGATAAGAATCTAAGAAGTATATGTCTATAACAACTCAAATCCCTAGCACAGTATATTGATGAGTTGCTCAAAATCGCACGTTTAAAGTCGTGTCTTCGACACTTTATTGCTCATGTTCCAAATATACATCAATACCTATAAAATGAATGGAAAACTATCAAATGATACACTTTATACACCAAAACGCATATAAACACAAACTAAATGTATTTACATAAAAGTCGGGTTTATTCAACGATATTAATAACAAAGAGTCGATAAGTGCAACAAAAAGTATATACAAAATAACTACACTTTTTCACTTATCAAACTTGCAGCCCAATGACAAGATTCCTCAGCCAAATCCCATGGTTGGATGCCTCATAACATGCTATAAACTATGTTGCCATGGTGGATGAAGTCGTAAGAGTTTACTTGGCATTGTGCCAAGAAACTTCACCATCAGCCAACAAATAGATATAGCCTGAAATTGATCTTTTACTATTTTGGTATCCAGCAAAATCAGAGTCAGAGTATCCAGTGGTCTCCAACTGGTCTGACCTCCTATATGTGAGCATATAGTCTTTTGTTCTCTTTAAATACCTTATAACCTTTTTTTGGTTGCTTTCTAATGATCCATTCTTGGATTGCTCAAATATCTTCCTAGAATCCATTGAGGAATGTCATCTTGACATCCATTTGATGGAGTTCCAGATCATAATGTGCAATAAGAGCCATGATTGTTCTAAAGGGGTCTTTCAATGAAACCAGAGAGAAAGTCTCTTTAAAGTTAATCACTTCCTTTTGAGTATAATCCTTAACCACAAGACAAACACTATGCCTCTCCATATTACCGTTAGAATCTTGTTTGGTCTTAAAATTCCATTTGCAACCAATGGATTTCACACCTTTTGGTAATGGGACAAATTCCCAAACTTTATTGTCTTGCATGGACTTATACTCCTCCTTCATTACTTTAATCCACTTACCATTATTTTCCTCCTCGTGTTCTTGAAGAAAGACTATGTAATCATCCGAAATAGCATTTCTCCTTTCTCTAATGGATCTCAGCAAAGGTTTTGGTCCTTGTAACACTTGTTCTTAAGAATTTTGAGTTTGTTATTCATGAATTACCAAATCATCTTAAGTAGGAGGAAAAACAACAATGTCTTGTGAAGGTTCTATACTTGCTTGACCAAAAGCAACTGTATGAATTGGTTCTGGAATTGTTACCGATTCTTCCTCTAAAACAAAGTCTCTAACCTTATTCTTCCTCAAACGCAATATCCTCAAATAATGTGGTTATTCCCGTCTCAAAATTGAATTTAACTTGAGATCCTAAAATTTGTAGCCCCTAGATCTTTAAGAATAACCAATAAAGTAGTTTTTCACTGTTCGAGAGTCCAATTTATTTTCATTTGTCTTATAAGGCCTTGCCTAAGCTATTCAAGAATTCACTATAGGAAGCTATTGTGTCAAGCAAATATAGATTATCATGACTCATAAGTGAACCAGTTCCAATAATATTTAAATTAAAAGTCAACTTAAACATAATATTCCCAAATGAACACAAATAACTCGATTTGTTCAAATAAGAAACTGAAATTAAATTTCGTCTAAATGATGACACAACAAAAATATCTTTTAAATCCAAATAAAAATCCAGTACATAGTAATAATCTAAAATTCCCTACAGCTTCCACCTCCACCGACTTTCCATCTCCAACATAGATATATGTTTCAACATCATTTGACTTCTGGTAGTTCAGACAATCCTGCATTAAAACACTGATGTTAGTAGTTGCACCTGAGTCTAACTACCAAGTGTTTTTAGGTACTTAAGATAAATTGACCTTAGAACAAATCAAAGTAAGAAATGTACCTTTATTTGTACGCCAAGCGTGATATTTAGGACATTTCTTCTTCACATGTCCAGACGATTTGCAAAAGAAATAATTATCATCCTGTTTTTTCTTCTTTTGTGTTGGAATAATTGTAGCTTCATTCTCAGACTCATAAGTTTTCTTTCTTTTGTCCTTGTCTTTAAAGGTGCTAACAAAATGAGCACTTTCAGTCTTATCTTGTTTCATCATTTCCTCTTCTTGCACACAAAATGAAATGAGCTCATTAAGAGATCATTTCTCCTTCTGACAATTATAAGATATCTTAAACTGACTATACTGTGAAGGAAGAGAAAGTAATACTAAATGAATGAGCAAGTCTTCAGATAACTCAAGCTTTAGTGCCTTAAGTTTTGAAATAATGCTTAACATGCTCATAATGTATTCCCTTATATTTCTTTTGCCTTGATACTTCATGGAAATCAAGTTC